TATTCTGGGTCATCATACTCCTGTTTCAGATGTTGTCAAGCCTTCCTTATCAATGATCTGTGGTTATGTGTATTGGATTTATTTTTTCGTATATATAATCTGGATTGTTTTTACTGTTGCTGAATTAAACGATCGCATAACTATTTTATTTTCGCTTACGAAAAGTAATCCATATATGGGGCATTCCTTTACAAATTTATTTATGGCTAAAAACTCCTGGTTGAAAATTTATTTATGAGCTACTTTCATAAAATAAGAAGACTCGTATCTAGAGAAAAAATGTTATAATTTTTTTATTAGGAGATATGGAGCCATGGGGTTTTGAGAATTGGCATAGTAAACACATTTTCAAATGGCTATATCTCAGTCTCCATTAATTGTAGGAACTTTAAATTTAAATTTACTGCATATTAAAGATAATTGATTGAACTTTTAAAAAAATGTTTAAACAATTAAAATTATTTATACTTAAGTACTAATATTAACCGTTAAGTTTCAAAAAAAAACTTTTTTTAAACACATCACCAGTATTTTCATTTTTTATATTTTATTTAGATTCAGTTTTAAATTTTACTGTGAAAAAAAAATTTTCAGGATGGCATTATTTTTTGAAATTTTTGAAATTTTTTTTTTCTTCTCCAAAACACATCAAGCACATACGTACTATATTTCCATTCAATGAATTTTCAAAGAATTTACTACAAATATTGTTATATAATATTTTCGATTTATCGATTAGTAATAAGATTTTACATAAAAGTCTTAAATTTAAGGACGATATTGTCCTTTAAAGTACTTTTAAAAAATTAATTTATCCTTCACATCACACTTCCACATCACACTTCAAAAAAAGAGGTATATGTCACATAAATTTTTCTGTGATATATCCCAGGAAAGATTTCTAAATGTTTGTGATGATGGAAATTTGGCAATAGCCGATACAGCTACATATGTACAACTAGAAATTTATTTAATTAAAAGTGGAATGCAATTATTGTGTTCATAAAATCATTTTTATAGTTTAACGATTTTTTTAGCGATAAAAAAAAAGTTTAACTTTAATATTAATATCTCTTAACAAGCTGTAGTAAAAATCAAAACAGATTTTGGTGCTGTTTGCGAGCACTTTGAGTTTTACTAATTTAATATTTGAGCTAAATCAGGCGTTGGCTATCTAGAGTGAGTGGAATGTATGAGTTATTTTGTTAGTAATATGAATTGCATTCCGTAGGATAATTCATATATAGTGCGGTATTTTTAATATATGACCTAATTTCTTAAGAATTATGAGATTTTAAGGATTTTGCTTTTAAAATTAATAGAATTCGGTGTTGTATTCCAATTTCTATTATAAAGATTTTTTACCTACTGTTGAATATTATTTCCTTTTTAAAATAAAGAAAATAAATAAAGCACAATCGAAGCGAGTTTGTGATAGAATTTATTTTAGAGGATCCAGTTTGTGACAGAAGTTGACGGGTCAATTGAATTTTGAGTTGCATACAATACTTTCGTTCAAAAATAAGCAATCACCAAACACTGAAGATATGAAATACAAATATATTAGTAACTTTGTCTATATCTCATAGTCTATAAAGTATCGAAAGATACGGACATTCACATAACATAAGAAGCGATAAATTGTGGCATAGCTACTACTTTGCAGCATTAAGGCAACAATTGGCCTTAAGTGGAATTAAATTAAATTATTATTTAAGGCGCTATGTTTCAACTGAAACCATAAAGAAATTAAGGAAAAACATTATATGAGTCAACACATTTTCACATGTATTTTCCTTTATTTTCCTAGTTTCGGTGCAAAAATTTCATAATTCTCTTTATTGAGCATTGAGTTCTGCTGCTTTATATGAAGGTTTCATTATATTAATCTTCTTTAGATAAAAGTTTTTTACTTTAGTTAGTATTTTTTCCTAATTGAATATAAAAAGTTATGAAATTTATTTTGTAAAATCCATAAATCCAATAAAACTTTTTTTTATTCAAAAATTCTAAAAGTATGACAGACTTTGATATTGACAAAAAAATTGGATGTCAAGTGAAACCCACACAATTTCAATTTTTAACTTTTGGTCTATTAAATCTGCTGACGATGTCGAAAAGAGATTCAATTCTTTTTTTATGTTTTTTGAAAGTCAAACAATTTTGGCTCTTGCTTTAATTAGTAGTTGTACTGGGTAGAGAGGTTAACGCCCTTTTTTCACAACGGATATGTAATAATATGTACTAGATAATAGCGCCAGTGAATAAGATGAAAGTATATTTTTTAAATTATTGTCACTTTTTTACACATTATTAGCTTTATTAATGTGTTTAAGATGTAAGGAGTAGAAAGTGAAGAGCAATGATAATTTGGTAGAAAAAGTTGAGCTAATTATTTATATATGTTTAGAACTAACTTACTTGATTTTTTTAAGTTGAGCATATTGAATTCTGATATTTATAATGTAGTGAGAAGGAAAAAATCAATATTAATAGCATGGAAACATAACCATGAAAATGGATAAGGAGCCATAAAAGTGCCAATTAGTAGATAACTGGAGATTTGAACACATGAATAATGTAATCTTATCTGTAGCGCTAAAAATACACCTTTTAATATTATATTACACCTTTTAATATTGCCGTGTTTCCGGTGACTGGTCTTCACTGTGTCCGGGTATTGTCTTTAGGCATGGTGAGCATGGGCTATAACCATGAAGATGAATATGGAGCCATAAAAATGACGAGAATCCAGTTAGTAAATAACTGGAAGTTTGAACACATGAATAATATACTCAAGATTATTTTGGCTGGCTTTATATATTAAATTGTTTTAAATTCATATATTATGAAAGTAAAGAAAGTAAATAATTTACTCTGATTCAATTATATTGGTCTAAAAATTAGTTAAATTTTATTAATTTCATTAAAATCTTAATCTCATTTAAAGACGAAATGTCGGGACGTTGAAATTATTTTTTCTGATTTAAATCTGTAACGAAAACAAGAAAAAGAATTTACTTGTGGAGTTCAGCAAAAAAATTAAAGAATTTCTGCTGCTAATGTTGTATGTTCTGAGTGATATTAGTCATCCAAAAATAATTCATAGTATTAAAATCATAAATATGTATATATAATCATGCATCACGACTGTTTTGTGAGATAAAAATTTTGGTAAAGTTATTGAACTTATCTGAAAGTGCTCTCTCAAGTATATTTTTAGCTATTCGACTGTTAATTGACACTTTCTTTCTTCATCAAATTGACTATTATTTGTTAAATGAATGAAGGATTTTATTTGGAGATAGAAATCATCGTAATGAATGCTTGCCAGCTTTGGCGTATAACTTTTTACGAACCACTCATACTCGTAAGTGTGGTCAGTTATGATATTGGAAATTATTTGCCATAATACTTTCTACTGCACCAAATTAATAAGTTCGTTTTTGTTTTTTCTTGGTGATAGTTAGTTTTCATTAGCAAAATGCTTAGTTACTAAATTGCGTATCTTCTGTAGCATAAACTCATTATTATGTTACCCTCACTTGGAACAACTTGGCTAATGCGTTCAAAGCGTATAATTTCACTTACACTTAATATTCTATTTAAAGCAAATACAAATCTCTAAAGTATTTGAAACATTCATTTATTCAACTTTTGCTATTTAATTAAGTCTCTTAAATTAAAAAAATTAACCCAAATTAAACTAATTATTTCTCACAAGAGTGCAAGCATTTTTCTTAGACTCAATTAATTAAATTGTCAGCAAAATTGTTCCAGATGAAACGATTTCATTAAGATGGAGAAACGAAAAATATTGTTTGTATAAATTTTGAACTGTATTCTAGATATATGCGTACTTAAAAAAAAAAATCAGCAATAATTTATTACATGAAATGAGAAGTAGAAAAACATCAAAAATAGAGCTAAGGCAAAAAGTAGAAACACATTTTAACAACAGCAAAAGGATAAAAAAACATGAGTTCCTCCTTAACTTATAACTTCAATTTTTGGGGCATAAAAGTAACAATAATTTTTTATGGTGAAAGTAAATTTCACTTTTGCTTTTATAAGAAGATTTCTAGGAAAATAAGTGGGTTTTATTCAAGGTTGAAATTGAAAAAGTATTTTTGTGTGAAAAAATTGCAGACGATATTGTATGTCATGACAACAACTATATTATTTTTTACTTCATTTAGGTAATCTTAATAAAAAAGTAGAAAATTCGTAAAAAAGAATTTAAGAAAAAGTTTTTTTATTATTATTACTAATATTATTAGCATAAGTTGCTTCATTAAGGACTACTCAGAATACAGGTTATGCAATTCAGAGTGTGGCACACATTTTTATATATTCTTCTCATTGACTTAAAATCTAAATTTGTATATTTTATAGCAAGTCTAAAATAATGCAATATACTAGATAAAATCTTAAGTCTAATCTGCAAATAACATATAAACGCAATTTGCAGCATTCGCAACAACGAAAAAACTAGTTGGCCGCTCCTCATCAATTGCGGTGGTGTACGGTAAGGTTGTGCTCTTTCGCCACTGTTAATCGCAATAGCACAGGACGATGTGTTATCAAAGATTATGTTGACAATATATGCAGTGTGTCGTATGCAGTGATTGAAGTAAAATGAAACGAGAGACGGAACTATGTCATATGCCATGGGCATTACATATAATGAGCCTATAAGCATTACATTACACATAGTCGAAATAGACGACACATATCTATGGACAATGTTAGCAGCTTTAGTCGCCTCAATGGCGTTATCCCATATGACGAAAGGAAAAGCTAGTTAGCTCATATTAGCAAAGAACGTAGTGTTTTCCACAAAATAAAATACTTAGCTATTGCTTGCTATCTTATGCATAGTGTGTAGTGTATAACTTTAAAGTTTTATATTTTTAATCTCAGCAACACAACAATTATTTCTTTTTTACATACAAATTTGATTTATATTCAATAAGGTAAGGTAATAAAGAAATAAATTATTTTATTTTTTTTTTTCAATTAAGTGTAACCAGGTAGTAGTGTGATAAGAGGAGGAAGGGTGTAAGCAAATTTAAAATATGAAAAAATGAAGGTGATTAAATTATCTATTATTAACTTCTTATTAAATATGAACGATATTCTTCAAATAAATAGTAATATTACACGTCTATAAATTACAAAATTTACGTTAGCCATATTGCAATATTATTATATTAGTAATGTTTATTTAAAAAAACATCAGAGCCGCGAAGCGCTTCTGAACCATAAACCGAAATAAAACGATGGTTTTGTTCATAACAAATCGCAACTGCACCGAAAAAAATATATCAGTTTATTAAGGTTTAGCATTATAAGATAGAAGACTCGTTAATCATATCAAGTTTTCATTATTAAGCAGAAAATTAAAAAAGCCCAATTTTTTTTTGTCAGAGCGAAAGATATATTGTGTTTTTTAATTCCCGATCCCGAAAAATACTAACTAAAATACTTATATTTTTATTTATTTAGTTTATTATCTTATTTAAAAATGTGTATGAATTCTTTTAAGATACTCTTAATTATAAGAAAATAAAAAATAATAAAAAGAAATATATAATAAGTAAGACTTACCGATTTGGTTAAAAACAGTGCCTCATTATATAAAACACATTTAATAAATTACGTTATATACGTACATACATTTTTTGCATATGTTTATATTGAACACATTTACTGATTACATATTTATTACGAAAAATCATATTAATTATAAAATACACTTCACTCAATACAATAAAGAAAAAGAAATTAACTTCTGTTTCCGACACTGAATTTAATATTCAAAAATATTTTAAATTAATTTATAGTTCGAATTAAAAAGCCCGTAAAAACCGAATATTACACACTTACAACTTATAAAAAAAGTGACGCACCCGTTATGTTTCATATAAAATCTTATCGTTGTTTTTCTAAATAACGCGGTTTGTAAAAGAAAACTGTAATTTTTTAAACAATAAAAAAATTGATTGGTTTAATAAAAAAATCCCTATCGGTTACCGTTTGAGAAGTTAAAATTATTTTAAAACTTCTCTCTCACGTACAAACACTTCGATCTTTTGTCAGAGATATACTGAGATAGACTGAAATTCTAAAATTTGCTTAAAAAAAGAAAATGAGCATTTTGCAAAAGCTGCAGTTATTAGCGGCGAAATACGATCTCGGGTGAGAAAAGGTAAGTAATACGTTCTTATTGAAAGAAAGATCGTAAATAATTTTGACAATTCGTACATCATAAGAAGCGTGACCAGTGTTTTGTTATTAAATTTATAATCATTTGTATAACTTATTAATTTGTTTTATGTTAATAACAACAATTTAGATCATAGTAGAAAGTTATGAATAAGTCAAAAAATTTATTCCTTAGTTTAAAGATGTGAAGCAATGTAAAACTAACTTTTAACAATATATAAGCAATTATTCTATAATTCCATAATTCTATTATCTATTATTTATTTTTTGTTGCATTTTTGTTTATGAGCAAATATAGAAATCAGTTTTGAATGAAGTATGATTGTTGTTACTATTAATTTTTTTTTTTTGTTTTAATGATAATAGCCAAAATATTTTAAACGCATTGGTGAAAATGATACATTTTTGCTATATAATATGAAATACACTACATGCATTATGAGGTACTAAGGTTAGTTAAATTTAAAATATATATTCTATTACATATGTATGAATACGTATTAAATACTTTGTTGCAAGTGAAATATAAAACTCTATTGCAAACATATAAATCAAAGTGATGCAACATAATTATATATAAAACTGTAATTTATACTTCCATATTATGGTATTATAATTATTATGCTTATTTATTATTGTTTTATTTCGTCTTATTTTAGTTATTTATATCTGCAAATCTATTTAATACATTTTATATTAGAAGCCAAGTTTATGTTTATTTACAAATGTGTAAAAAATTTTATATAATAAGTTCGATACTTCTTAACAAAAAAGTATTTCAGATTACCTATATTTAGCACTTTATAATTAAATAGACACTAAACATATAGTATAATTGATATTTTTATGCAGCTTAATTCATATAATATGCTAGCGACAATTTTTCATTTTAATTTTCATAAAAATAAAAAATAGCAAGAATTACAATATAGTTTCAAACTGTATTTTCATATAAGTAGAAATACAAGAACAAAATAAATTTTTTGCTTTTGCTTCGCTTAAAGCAATAAATATTTGTTTTTAAAGCAATAAATATAATAAATACTTTCCTTCATCAATGAATTTTTATTATAAAAGCAAAATAACAAATCATATACAAGATTACAAACTTAATAAAAAAATATTGTTTATGGTTGTTATATATGATATTTGAATTGTCAAAATATATGATCTTACGATCTTTCATATAATATAAAGAAATAAGAACGTATTTCTGCTCTTAATATTAATATCGTATTTTGCCACTAGTAATTGCAGGGAATTCTAAGTCTCAATAAATCTGTCTCTGAAGCTGTTTTAATGCAAACCACTTTCTCATTTCCAGAGCAGCAGTTATTTAAACCAACTTCATATAATAATTGTTGTTTTTCTTGCAACGACACTTTATTTCCATGCAATACCCATGTGGAAATTTGGTATATTATGCTGCTTAACATTCAGCATAGAAACTTCAGATTTTATATCTCTTAGACACGAAATGTTTTTCTATATTTAATTAATGCACAATATATATATGTATTGTGCATTATTTTCATATAAAACAAATTTTTAACCAAAGAAAAATGAAAACCTTTGTAAGGTGTTAAAAAAAATTTTTTTGTGAATATTTTCAAAGTACAATATACGCATAATCCAGTGGTACGAATAAGGTAATTTTTGAAATGTTTTCTACATTGTTGTTGTTCAAAGTAAGTATCACTTAAACCCCTTTTCTCACTTATGCGGTGTGCTTTAAGTTTTTTTTTGTAATTATATATAAAAATACAAAAATTGCACCACATTGTATTTCTTAATCTACAAAGTATGCTTTGTTAAGTTTTGTATGTCACATTTATTTTATAAAATTTTATAACTAAAATCTGACATTTTTTTTTATATTTCATTATATGGTAAGTGTTCAACAGTTTTGTATTGCGTTCAAAAATAGTGCAGCTAAAATTGAAACTTGAAACAGGTAGCATTTCAAAAAACATATTTGTTCATTAATATTATTCAAAATGACTATTTATTTGTTAAATTTTAAACGCAATTCATAATATATATGCATACATATATTGAAATAAAATTTGCTTATAAAATTTTCACATATTTAAGCAAAGAACATTCTGGTAACAAGCAATCGAAAAGCATTTCTAATTTTTATTTTCAAGTTTTCTTATTTTTGTTTAAGCTGCATAATATATGGTGAATTGAGAGAGCGTGCATAAGTCAAGTTTTAAATACGCTTAATCCCCTGCAACGGTAAGTGATAGTGGTTTTTAACAAACTACACAATATTTCACTCAGTTTCTACCAATCCGTCTTAAAAAATAATAGTATGCTTTTGTTTTCTTAATTTTTAAATTAAAATTTGATGTGCTTAGAATAAAATAAGTCAAAAATATTTTTTGTTTCAGTTTTTGAATATATCGGATGTTGGATTTAGCTTTGTCAATATTATGATTTTTTAAAAGTTGGTAAATTACTGTGTGTTTAGTGTTTCAAATGATTTATAAATATATATGTACATTCATCTATAGTAACTTTTCTTCATTTGCGGGTGCTTGTTACATACATACATACATATATAGAATTGTGCGTACTTAAGGAATTGTTTTTGTACGAATGTGCATCGGCAAGTAAGTAATATTTATAGCTAATTTTTATGTTATCTTAAAAGAATATTTAAAAGTAATGCAAAAAAAGCTAATTATAAATAAACAACTGTTTTTTTCAAAATAAAATTTTATTAATAAGATAAACTTAAAGAGAAGTTTTTTGTTGTTGTTGTTTATCATCAGTATCAATGAAACCCCTATTTTCGCTTATGTAGTGCTTTTTAAAATTTTTTACTGTTAATTAAAGAAAAACAAAAACAACAAAAAAATATAACAAAACAAAAACAAAGTGACTTTCTTAATCTACAAAGTGTGTCAAATTATAAATATTAAATTCTAAAAACTAAGTTTCAGTATAGGGAAAGAATTTTTTATTTTTTTAATATATTTATAATAAAGTTATATTAGTGAGGTCACTTCAAAGAAAAGTGCTTTTTTGTTGTTCGAAGTATGTATCACTTAAACTCTTGCGTTTGCTTACGTAGAAGGTTTTACATTTTTTGATTAACTAAATAAAAACAACGAAAATTATATGTCATGTAGTCAAAAAATATATTTTTTATTTTTGTAACTTTTTCTTTTAATTTTAATAACTAACAATTTTTTGTTTAATTTTTAAGTGTTGAAAAGTGTTTTTATTGTGTTTGCAAGAAGTCCATCTATTGAAACCTAAAACAGGTATGACTTCAAAAAATATTTCGATTTATTAATATTATTATTATATTAACTCAAAATGAAATTAAAAATACCACAAAACTTATTAGTGTGTATTAGAAAGATGCAGTTCGAAGTAAAAAGCATCGGTAAAGTAGTTCGTTCACTAATATCCTTTTAAAAGTGGTCAATTCATTGCTTGGTTTAAAGTGACAATATGTAAACATACATGCATTATCGCTACCAAAAAAATAAAATTATTATCATGTTTTGTTTAATAAAACTTTAACCGAAACTATGCCATTAATGAATCGTTTTTAAAATGATAATTGTTTATTTTGTAGTAAATTACATAAAGTGTAAGTTTCGTTTAAAAACGTTGCTTGGGATCTCAATGATAAGTAACATATTGACTTTATGAAATCCTTGAGCACCATAGGTTTTTATAGATTTCGTTCGAGTTCAAAGATCAGTCAAAGTATTCTAATTAGAATTAAAATTAAATATTTCTTATTTACACTTTCAAAAATTATCTGTGCTTGGTTTACTTCCTACTACGTCCAAAAATGGCTCTCGTTACGATCGCTTTTTTTTCGACTGAAAATTGAACTGCCTATCAGAATTTGTCGTTGAAAAGGATGTCCTTTCTCGAAATAAAAGATTTGTCTGTTAAAAGACTTGTCTGTGTACAGATATTCTAATTGAATATCACTTCAGTTTCAATAATTTAGCTTCTGTATGTCCAAATGTTAAAAAATTTTACCACTAACCACTTACCACTTTACCACTTTAGTGAAAAATAAATCTTATCGATGTATGTGATTGTTAGTATTTGGTTTTATTGCAAATAATTATTTTTAAAAAGTCCCATTTAGTTAAGTTAGTGCTTTGTGAATATTAATGTATAAATATTCTATCGTTGGTTTTTTAAAACAAAATAATTAAAAAAGTAATAGTTTCATACATATTCTAAGAATTAAATTTTGAAAACGTTATGCTCACCCATAAGAAAAATTACTGCTACTCCGACTGATTTCGTGAACTCCTTCTGGAGCATAGTGCCTCTAATAAATATTACACTAATGCTTTTTTTCTGATTTTGGGATATTTTCTTGTATAGTAAAAGAGAAAAATTTGTTTCTAGTATTTAGCATTTGTCATGAGATCGTAGCCTAGAAATCTGTCACTCAAAAATAACGTATAGCTTTTTACTATAATATAATTCTATGTATCATACATAAGAATTTATATATATATTTAGGCCAATATTTCTGCTAACAAAAGCAAGACTTTAAATTAACATCTCAAATTGTGAATTTTGCATTAATAATAAAAAAAATAATTTAGACGCTAGATCAATATCCAATAATTTCATATTGGCTTTATATTGACCATGAATTATTTACAATTATATATTATCAGCCTTTCCAAATATTTTATTATATTATGCTATAGTCCAAACAATATTCTGAAGTTCTATGATTATGCTATAAAATTTGCTCGTCTTTTATTTTTAGCAGAATTCGTTAATTTTTCTTTAAACGCTTATTTTTTCCGTGTTGGTTTAGGAATTAAATATTACCCGCCATTATATCATTATATATATAATGTTATAGGTTAGTGTCTGAAACTTAAAGATTGAAGATGTAGACGAAGACCTTTTTAATATGTTGAAAAAGATCACACTTGATTTGAAAACTATAAGCGGAAAGTGGATCTTGTATGTCTATGCAAGTCTTCGTCTTAAGGCAAACTTAGTAGTGCGCAAATAATTACTTGAAGAATAAATAATCATTTTGTATTCAAAAATATTTTATATTACAATTAATCAATTTCTATATATTTTATAAAAAAAAATTGCACAAGTTCCTTTGAAAACTATATTTCACTTTTTTTTGCGAAATACGTTCTTATATAAAGCAATACAATATTGCCTAATATTAAAAATTCACATATTTTTAAACAAGAAATAAGTACAATAGTAAAGTAAAGTTATAAATTTTGTTCCATAAAACATTAAAATTTTTTATTGCCAGTATTTGTGAGTGCACAAACTGAGTTTTATCTTTGCAGTAATTTTGCAAAACTTTTCAGTTTTTGTTCTGTAAATGTTTTTATACAATAAAGTTGAGTCCTTACCATCCTCTTTCAACCGAAATAAATAAATACATTTTTTTTAATATGCATATGTATGTTTAAATAAAAGAATTTGTGTGAAAACATAAAAACTCTTTTTAAAAAAGTTATAAATTTTCTATAAAATAAAATAAAGTTACATATGAAAGCAAAAAAATTTACAATACTTAATGTAAAAAAAATAGATGGGTATTTAGTTAGGGAAACCATTTCTAGAAAAATATTGGTTATTGTCATTTCCAAGGTTTCAACAAAACAATTATTTTTTCTTTGATGACATGTTTTTTTATTTTGGGAGTTTCCGATTTTTATGCCTGTAAGGATAAGATTGATTGAAAATATTTTTTTTTTCAAAAACGAGACCTAGATATTATAACGATTTATTATCTTGTGAAAAAACGATTATTAAGTGTTTTCGCATAGCCCTTTACATATACCCCTAGAAAACTTTCTTGTTGCCCGTTTTTTAAATTTTCGGATATTTAAAATGTCCACCAAAAAATTTAAAAATAATATCTACGGTGCTAATTTCTAGTTGCCAGCCATCACTGCTGCCCAGGTATTGTCACTGAACAATGTACTGAACAATGCTTTGTAACCATGATATGGTTATGAGGATGTGTTCCAAGATAAAGACAAAGTTCCAAGAGCTGGAGTTTTGAGCACAAAGAAAAAGTGTGCATTTAGATACCTAACCATAAAAATTAAATAATAGTTTTAAAATTTATGTAATATTTGCCTAAAATAGGGTTTGAAATGAACTAATCAAGTTTAATAGAAAAATCTTTTGTTACGAGTTTATTTTGTAAAATTATGTGTATTGTAAATGTGATATTTCATTTTTGTATATTAGATTCAAACAGTGCCAAATTTTATGTATTTTTTGTTTTAAATTTATGAAATGTGGCATATGTAAAGGGCAAATGTACAGAATAAATGAAATAATGGTTTTTCGCAAATAACGGAAAAACGGTATATTTGAATAAAAACATTGTAATAATTTTTGAATATTAGAAAAAATTTCATTATAGAAACAATAGATATCGTTTTTGGAAATCTTTCGTTTTTACCTGTAAACTAAAGTGATTTTATTGTCAGAAGTATTGGTCAGAAGTTAGAAACTGTCAGTTTTTATTAAATGAAGTGCACATAAATGTTAATTCAAATGGAATATTCAATTTTATTTTTTGTAAAATAAGTATTAAAATACGTCATTATACCAATTTTCACTAAAACAAAAAATGAGCATGTCCTTTTAACCGTAATTGAAAAAATCATTCTCAGGCTTGTTTGTTAAGAACAATTTTACAAAAATTTTTAAAAAATGGTGAATAGAAATGAATAGGTTAATAAAAAGGTCATATTATTAATATGAGATTAATATTTATTGTTAATTTAATATGCAATAAAATCTTGGGTTAAACCTATAAATAGTAGTTCGATCAATAAGTTGGCAGAGCGCTATGTTTTCATCAGCTATGGACCAACTGCAAAAGTCTTTGATTTCACCATTCAAATATTCAATTACTTTTGCTAGTGATTGACTCTGTTGACATAAGTACCTTTCACGTTCAAATTTGTAGATTCCACAAACATTTACTATTTAAAAGGAGTTCTGAATTAGATTCATGTAACATATGCAATACATTCTCACTGCATGCACTCTCGAGCCTTTATTGTTATTATTATTCTACTACATTATTTCTAGTATTTCGCATTAAGCTTTATTTAACGTAGACTTGTTTAGAATTAGGTTAACTGGTTGAAAAGCATGGAGCAGAGAAGTCAAGCAATGAGAAAAGGTTATGAACTTTCTTAGTGTTAGTTAGCTTAAACAGTTCACATTGAGTTCTCGATCATTACAATTGGCTGATTCCAAGTATTTGCAGAGACTGTTGCATTCTTTATATTAAAATTCATTCTAATTCTTGATATGCTTCACCAGCAAACATAGTAAACGACTACTAAGTATTTTGAGAACTTCTTAAAGATAGTCAAAGTGCAACTTTAAGGTGTGTCGGTATTGTCCTGGATTGAGTGTAATCCTGCTTTTATGTAGAGCAAGATAATTTGATGCTGTAATCGGTAGATATAGTATGGAATTTTGCCCCAAACTAAACACCGTAGATCGAGTCATTTTTTTTAAAGAAATTTTCTGGCAGTAATGTAATTAAACCATGTAGAGTAAATAGGATGTATTTTTTAAAGTTTGCACTTGTTCAAGTATTTGTTAAGTGATAGATTGCAACAAAGTTAGATGTTCACTTATTAACATATTATTTTTGTTGTTAGGGATGTGGCACTGCGACCGTCGGGTCTATTGTGCCCCCTTCCGAGTTTAGAGTAGATATCTAAGCGCTGTTACGTCAATAAAAAGTAGTGTAGAACCTACTTTACAGAATTTTATCACCTCGTCCGTAAGAATATACATTTGCAGGAGCCTATTCCGTATGTGCATTAGCTCATTCTCTTCGCAGAATCTACAGTTTGCATTCGTAAGTATACCAGTCTTGTAATGTGGTACTTTAGTTTACCGTACCTTGTTAGGATTCCTGTGATGATTCTAATAATGTGAGATACAATTCTGGTATCTCTTATTGTTGTTGGTACCAATGAGTGATTAAGATTGTTTTAATTCTGATATATTATCCCATTATTCCTTTTTATTCTGGTTCTCCTTTATTTTTATAAGAGCAAGGAGTGTACTATATTCTTATTTACATAAACATTCACAACCTAAATTTGTTAATCAGCGAAAAGTCGTTGTGTTTTGAATTATGTTATTTCCTCATTTATGAGTATCTTTATAAATGCCTAATATGAATTATTTACTTATATCTCGATTCATGGGACTACTCAAATAATTTTGAAAATATTTTGTT